AACCATGAACTCTCTGCAACAAAGTCAGGAGACTGGAAGTGAGTGGACTTGTGTGAGAAAAGTGGAAGGGGCAAGTCTTACAGTCTCTGCATCTTATTCTGCAAAACAGGACTGAAGGGCCTGGCTGAAAATGAGGAACTTATTTCATTACCCGTTCACTCCTTCATTCATTCAACCTGCATGTCTTGCTCTAAGAGTCCTACTGTCTCATTGCTGGGTGGGGAGAGAGCCTGAGTTCCGAGTGCCAAGAAGGAGACTGTGACCCGAACCAGGGAAGGCAGCGGCCACCTGGAGAGGAGAGATGACGACCAGCGGCAAGGCCAAGGGCACCAAGTGGGGGACGACCAAGAGGACACGGCAAAGCAGACACACAATAGCAAGTGATGCGGTGTGGTGGGAGATGCAAGAGGAACACGAGCACACGGTGTGGAGGAAGCTGAAGGAGGAGAGTCACAACGTCCGCAGAGGGGGCAAGGAGCCACCCGAGTGTGCAGACACCACAGGGAAGCCACCGTGCACCCCAGAGTGCGCTGGGAACGGCAGGAAGCAGACTGGAGGGAGTGGGGAAAACCCGGGGAGATGAGAAATAGAGCAGAAAACAGACTATTCCAAGTTTGGAAGTAAAGATGAGGAGAAGACAGGGCTGCGAGTGTCAACAGTGTGGCTAGGCTGAGCACTGCTGTTAGGAAAATGAGGAGGCCTTCCCAGCCCGCAGAAGACCCGAACGGGCGGCGAGAGGCAGCAGCTCCTGTCACGGATGGAGACTTCGGAGGGATGCGAGGCAGTCTGAATGGAGAAGGAGCCTCAGACACCTGAAGTAGACAAACAAAACGCGGTCTCTCCCTTCCGTAAAATGTAACTCGGCCATGAAATGAAGTCCCGACACAGGCTACAGCACGGATGCGCCTCGATACGCTATGCTCAGTGAAAGAAGCCAGATGCAAATGGACATGTACTGTCTATTGCCACTTACGTGAAATGTCCAGAATAAGCAAATATGTAGGGATTAAAAATGGATTAGCGGTTGGCAGGGCTGGGAGGATGGAGGAATGGGGAGTGGCTGCTTACATGGAGTTTTCTTTGATGGCGGGGGGGGGGGGGGGGGGGCGGTGGAACATGAAGATGTTCTAGATAGAGGTGATGATCTCACAGCGCTGTAAATGAGCTAAGTGTGACTGACTTGCACACTGTAAATTGGTTAAAACAGTACATTTGTGCAGTGTGTATTTGAGCACGTGCACACACCCAAAACCCGAAGCAGCATGAAACCAGTCAGCCGTCAGGCGGGAAACAATGTGAGAGCAAACCGTCCACGGCATTATAGTGACAATCCTCAAAACCGTCAGTCATAAGAAAGGATAAATTATGTTCTCTAGTCGGTTGAGTCATATGAAATTGCAAAAACAATAGCAATTCCAGATGTCCAATCTAACACAGCCTCTTTGAAAAGAGGAGGCACTCTATAACATTTTATAAGGATTTCTGTCACAGGTGATGCCAGCTAACGCCAACACTCCCACCTCTCACAACCCTAACTGATCTTGGTTATCACTCCCCTCCCCTCTTAAAATGAAAATCCTGCTTGGGAAAGGGGACTTAAGAGACCCATTTTTCACTGGAAGGGACAATGTCTGATGGAGCAGACCACAAAGAATGTGCACATGTGGGTTCTGCTTCTGGCTTGGTTAGCTGGGTTCTCGAGGGCTACGAGCCAGAGCAGGTGAGCCTGCCAACTGTTCCAACACTTCTTCCAGGGGGGAACATGGTGCCTATGTGTCAATCAAGGCAGATGTGGGTTCTACTGAAGCACAGAGTCGATCATCTCTCTACCTTCCATCAGCCAGTCCTGCTCTCTGCTAGCCCTCGTTATTTCAGAGCTTCCTACATCAGCTTTTAAGACGATAAAACCACTGTCAGAGGGACACAGGGATTCCTTTATTGCAACAAATCATCTCACTTGCAAATAACATACAGGAAATGAAATAGTTCTCTTCACGAAGGGCTTCTTGAGGAAATCAAAACCCTTGGCCAATATGCCCAGCAAGAGCCTTAAAATGCAGAACGGATTCTGGGATCCCTTGGGTTTTCTAAGCAAAGTAAGTATTTGAGGCAGGAAAAAAAGTAATGGTAGGAGTGAAAGCACATTTTTATAGCACTATTTGACCCCACCTACTCCATTCCTAGCTCAGAGGGTTTTCCTTTTTCCTTTTAATCTTAACACTTAACGATGAAGTACAAAGAAATGTTTCATTCTCAGCAAAGGATAGTAGCAGGCCAACAGACCTACGAGTTAGTCAGACATGAGTTCTGATCTTGGCTCCTCTGCTGCCTGGCTGTGTGTCCTTGGCGGATTGCTTCATGTTTGAGCCTCAGCTTCCTTTCTATAATGTAACCTCACTATTGCAGGTATGATGATTCTATGAAACAATGGCAGAGGAGCCTGCTCAGCGATTGAAACATGGTCGGCGAACTGTGGCACCACTGAGCAAAGGGAACAGGAAGGAACTCAGGTCCAGGTCAGTGTTTATCTGTCCCACATTCAGCCTTTACTGTCTTCACTTTAGCACGAAACGCTGGATATTCCTACAGCACTATAATTAAAATTCTTTTTTTTTTTTTTAATTTATTTGGCTGTGCTAGGTCTCAGTTGAAGCATGCAGGATCTAGCTCCCTGACCAGGGATCGAACCCAGGCCCCCTGCATTGGGAGCATGGAATCTTAATCACTGACCACCAGGGAAGTCTCCCCCCTGCCCCAGCTCTTTTTCTGAAGTAGGGTTTCTGCCCAACTCTGTAGTATATTTCCAAACAAAGTTGATGGATAGTTTGGCTCAACCATAGCAAGCAACAAAGTGGAAATTCGTGATTTTACACAAGTAACCAGCTTGTGTAGACTGCTGGAGTCTAGATCTCTGGACTCTTGGAGATTATGTAGCAAGAGTAATAAGAGCCGATGAATGAATCAATCTTCTTTAGCCTAAGGTTGCTTCTACGTTACTTTCAATGGGGAGATTCTCTCCACTCTTTTGAGACGTACGCACGTCAAGTGAAGCGTTATCTGCAGTCTTCCTCAGTGTTCACCACGAACAGTCTCTCATGTCACAGCCTATCATGGTTTGGTTCCCAGCCGCCTGCTTCTCTCTCCAGAGTAAAACACAAGCGACAAAACCACCCCCCGTTTAAATGGAAGTCACTGCCCCGGCTGCTTCTTGCAGGTTCTATCTTCACTTCACTCTTCAAAGTCTCCGAGTTTCAAATTTTTAGTCACAAAACCTTTTCAAAAGGAAGGTAAATTTGAATCCCAAGGCAAAAGAGGAAGAGCTGGCGGATGGAGAGGAGCCCTGAAAACCTCTGCCTGAGGAACCGTGAGGCGTCACTCCTAAGTCTTGCCAGTTCTGAGTGACAGACGAGAAATGTAATCAATGATCCAGTCAAGGTCACAACGTAAGAGGAGAAGCTGACCTCTGTGTGTTCCTCCCACGGGTGGGATCCACGCTCTCCACCAAAGATGTTCCGTGAGATGAGATAAAAGGAGACAAACAGACTCAGCACTTAGTTGAGATCCTTCCCTTTCAAGTCCTTACAGACACGCTGATGTCAGAGGTGCACAGTGTTTCACACACTGGTTTGAGCCAGGAAGAAGAGAACCTCGTCCAGTCCGAGGGCTTCTGTTTTTCATGAACCCCACTCTCTCCCTTACTGACCAAAGCAGGGTGCAGTGACCCTGTTTAAGTCAACCCACTCTGATTCTTTCCCTGACCCAAATCAGAATCTGACACGCATCTCTGACACTATCGGCTGAATGAGGCTGAGCATGTGACTACCTTCTGGTGCTTCCGCTTCCTCTTTAACACGTGGGAGTGATGACACTGCCGGCTCATGGGAACTACTGTGAAGACAGGGAGGATGGCTGTCAGGCATTTGTGCCTGTCTCACAGTAAGGTAAGAGCCACTGAGTCTGAGCTATCATCACCAAGAGCGTCATTTGTCATCCTGGAGTCTGGAGAGATGGGCCATTTCTCCCACAAAGGAGGGTCATTGTGGAGAGCTCTAATGAAGACTTACAAGTCTGAAATCAACTCTCCAAAGAGTGCTTTCACCACAAACGATGCCACATCAATGGACAGTCAGTACAAATTACTCCAGAATACTCCATCCAAATGAGAATTAATGTTTGCAAAGTATGCTTGGGGAAAAAAAATTTTCCCCTTGACATGCAAAGCAAAGAATGATGACCACATGGTAAAATTCTCTTTAAAATGGCTTTTTTTTTTTAGTTTCTGCTCTGAGGTCAGATGTGGCTAACAGTCTAGCATTTTGATTCAAGAATTAAAAAAAAAGAATAGGGCATTCTCTAAAATCAGTTTTGCTTCACTGTTTAATGAACTTGTCAGAAACCTTTTTAATTTAAATAGGGAAACAAGTGGGTTGTGGTTAGCTTCTAGTTCATTCCAGGTATAATACACATTTCATAAACCAATGCATCAGTGCACAGGTATACACAGTTCCCTTAGGAGCTGTTTAAACATTGTTTTTTACTTAAAAGAAAAGCAGAGTTCTATTTAAAAACAGCTTCCAACCTTCACACCAAATCTGTATTCTTGGAACCTTCTTAAAATCAATTTTAATGAAAGAAAAAAAAAATCTTAAGAGAAAAGAAACAAAACTGAAACCAAGGCAGGAGGGAAAACATACTGTCCCTTTCCATTTAAATGCACTGCCATAAGATCATCTGATAAAAATCTTATTTTCTCCTTGCTTGCAAGTTCCCAGTGGTTCTTTTTTTTATTAAAGGACCTGTCAACTCACTCCTACCCAAGTGCTACAGCAGCATGCTTGAAAATGAGGGGATATAAAACACAGGTGACTTGAGATCCCACTGGAATGACCCAACCACATCAAGCACAGTCTCCGAGGGGCCTCCGCGAGCCCTGCCCAAGGTAGCAGCAGATGCGGGCCTGGCAGGGCTGGGGGTGCCCACCCCAACGGACGCCCACTGACCTTTTGGTGACTGGTGACTTCGTCCCTGCTCCTCTCCAGCTCCTCGTTAAGTTTCACGTTCTCTTCTTGCAGCGCTGAGAGCTGCTGGGACTTCTCAGCTGCTGCCTGCCTTAGGGTTTCTCTGCAAAGACAGCAAGTGTGGGGTTACCATAGAAACAAGACAGGCAAGGAAACTGTGGGAGACGACCAACTCCACAGCACTGGGGAAAATATATCTGGGTCACGTGCCTGACAGGATCTGTAATAACAGGAGGTAGTACTGTCTACCTGCAGGAGGGGCCAAACGGCTTTAACCTCTTAGGGGGACGACTGCTGCCTGCAATTATTATATTTTTTTTTCCCAAACCTAATCAACACTACATCTACTCTCTCACCACCCACACTTAACCCACTTCTAAATACTCCCCACACAGAAAAGCAATGTTACTCTCTAAAATAAATGACAGATGAAATGACCGGTATTCCCTTTGTTTCCATTAGAAAATTAAATTCACTACGTTGACAGTGATTTCCATCGCTGCCACAGTATTCTGCTCTAACTGTACAAATCTGTAATCTTTTTTTTTTTTTTTGGAAGAAATGTAAAGCTCATAGTTCCATTTGCTAGTATTTGTCAGAATCAAGTGTTGCTGTGAATCTGGGTGTATTTTCAGGACGACTAAAGGTGAAATGCCCAAAGGAAATGTAGTTTTCTAATTACAAAACAAATGTTTAATTTTGATTGTATTCTTTCCATACTGTTGACCTGTAATTAAAAGCAGCAAATAAAAATACAGCTTGCTGACCATACATATCATGAATATCAACATATAAAATGTTAGCAGGGTAAACACATGTATTAAACATCTTCCCATTATTAAGCTTGACTGAAAATATACATCCCAAGTTATCCTTTACATGTGGATATTCAAAATAGTTTATTGGATTGTTGGATTTTAGTTTTAAACCATAGAAGGTGGTTTTGATGCAATTATGAATTTTAAGTCTGGGCTGGCCACACTCCATTTAGTGAGCTGTCATACGTGGCTGAATTCTGAATCAAGTCATCTGGGTATGATTCCATCTGCTGATGCATGAACACGTCTATTTTTAACCTCAGTTGTCTAATGGGTGGCAGTACTTGGTACCTGCAGTTTTCTTGATTTTTAATTCTCCATGTACCTATAACATACCTATGGGGCTGACCTTGTGAAGATATAGGGGAGTATGTCGACACGAAAATTCTCTTAGCACATTAAATTTGGCATTTGACAGAGACGTTTATTTAGCAAGTGAAGAAAAACTAAGAAGGAATTTCAGACTCAAAAGCTGGGAGGCTTGATTTCAATTATGGATCAACACACACACACTACTACAAGTAAAGTTTATCTTCTGGCTAAAATCCATCAATTCTTGATAAATTAGAGGATTTTACTTATGATAAAATCATCATAAGCCAAACCTTTCATTCCCAAGTGGTCACAACCTTCATTAGGAGCTATTTGGTCTCAGCATCTGTGTGGCCTATCAGTGGTAAGTTCTTGATCCTGTTCTTTCTCTCTTACAGATTTCCATCCTTTAAAAAATTTTAAAACCTTGGTTTCCATTAAGAGCCCCCAGTAAGGAAAATTAAAACAAGGAGTCAGGAGATATCAAGATGTCCTAAGATTTATACAAATGATATATGTTCAATGTTTTAAAATCTACAGTATGATTTCATGTACATTTTCTCATTTAATCCTCAAAGCCCAGGGAGGCTCATGTTATCATTTATATTTTAAAGAGGACAAAATTGAAGCTCAGGGAAGTGAAAAGATTTGCCCCAAGTAAGTTGTAGAATCAAGAGAACTAGAGGTAAAACTGGCAGACAGACCTCAGTTGTGATCTGAATATAGAAACACCTTTCAACTTTCCTTTAGACCAGAGGACATATGTACATTTCGTAGATGGAGGAGGCTCCAACAGCGCAACTCCTGGACATACTCTAAGGAATAATTCTGAAAATACCTACAAATATATTTCTCACAATTTTATAAGTTACTTTTTTTTTTTACTATATAACGACATCTTGCAAAACAAAAGAAGACTCACAGTTTTAAGACTGAGACACAAAATAAACACTGCTGATACTGACTTGCAAACATTCTGAGGAATCTATCATAAATTTAATAATTACCATGCTAAACATATTCTACTTCTTAAAAATATTTATTTATTTATTTATTTGGTTATACCAGGTCTTAGTTGTGGCATGTGGGATTTAGTTCCTTGACTAGGAATTGAACCTGGGCCCCATGTATTGAGGGTCTAGTCTTAGCCATTGGACCACCAGGGAAGTCCTAGTATATTTTAGTTTTACTACTCAGCCAGGTGAGTGATTAAAGGCAAAAACTAGATCGCTTATATCATTTTCCCTCAGAGTCAAAAGCTACACACCAGAGATAGACAATTTTGTTCTCTTTCCAATTAAAACTAGGACCTGGCTAGCCAAAATCAAGAGTTTTCCTAAAACCAGTTTAGGAAATGGCATAGTGGAAAAGGAATGTTTAGTTGCAAGGGCTGAGTTTCCAGGGCCAAGGGCAAGATTCTTACGGCTGATTCCCATTAGAACTCCTGGGTTTGCAGAGACGTCCCTTTTCCTCCAGGAACTCCCGTCCTGGCAGGTAAAGAGAAACACCTGAAAAGCTCCAGTGGCCGTGAGGAGCCCGGGTATGTGGTCACAAAACACAAACAGCTGCTCCTTCTCCAGCTCAGAGCACAGTAAAATGACTGCTGGTCTCTTTCTGAGCAGCACTGTTCTCATGACACAGTACATTTACATCAGCTGGTCCCTGAAATGTGGCCAAGTCTCAGGCAGGGAACAATGAGTCACTGGGGGTGTGTTGGGGGGGCGCTTTCAACCCACTCCTCACACCTCCCTCCCGAGGCTTCTCACGAACGTCGCCGCCGTGTCTCCCGCTGCCCGTGTCCTGCTCTGAGTCCTGGCCATGCTGTGCCAAGCTACTGACACGAGGCAAGGTTCCCGTAGCCCTGGCGAGCCAGGAAAAACGGCAGACTATCAGTAGCAGCCCCCCTCACGTGAACTTCTCCCCTCGGGGAAGCACGACGTGGGAACCCAGCCCCTGGGAGGAAGGCAGGCCCCGGCGAGGTGGGCAGTAGTACGGCCCATGGGTTTTTGCTCCCGTGGGCCTACAGGTGCGGGGCTCAGCTTCTGTTATTCAACGGGGTCTTTCAAAGACAGGCACACACAGTGAGCTACTCTCTTGGCAGAAGTGAGACCACCCCATGCTGACTAGGGGTGGAGACTGAACGGAAAGACTTGAGTGAGGACAGGGACATATCAACGCTAGGCCAGTGTGACGACCCTTACGGGAGGCTCCTGCGTGGTGCTGCAGGACAGGGGGATTTTATCTTACTCCCCGGGGCTCTCTGTGATACGTCCGCTCTGGCCCTGCCCCTCCATTACCTAGTATGGCCCAGGGAGCTCAGAGGTAGGATTATGGCAGAGGGAAGTTGGTGAGGGAATCTTCTGACGCTCAGATCCTCCCTCACCAGCTGCCTGTGTGACATAAATGAACTGAAGTCAATGTAGTGCTCCAGACCCTCAGGCCAGCAGAGCTACTGTGTCATGGGGGTGGGGGAGATCCTTAACTGTAGCTGAACCTCCCCTCTCTGAACAGCTTTGAATTTTTTTCCCCATCATAGGAAAACCAACAGTTGTTTCTATTTGTGCTGTTTAGCCTTAGCAGACCTGGAGAGTCAAGCCTCTCCCACCGGCCACCACCACAACTCTACACATATACATAGGTGTAAATGGAACCGTTGGGAGCTGTTTAAATACCTTTAGAGAAATATCACTAAAACTAAGACTGACAAAAGGATCCATTGTCAGCATTGTGAGCTGTCCATCTCCTCAGGTAAGTAGCCCTGAGAAGACCACTTCTAGGAGGATTTTAGGAACTCAGAAGAACTAGAAATAATATACTAATTTAACCCAAGCTTGATCAACAGATAGTATTGAGGATGGCAACTTGGTTTTGGAAGTGACGCTTTTGTTTCTGTTTGAATCTCATCTATTTGTTTGATCAGAACTGGAAATAAATAATACAAACCCTTGAAGGGCAGAGTCCACATACAATTCATTTTTGGATCCTTCCTAGCTCAACTGTACCTAGCAGAAGGGGCTTCCTCAAATGTTCACCAGATTAACTGGCTTTAAATGTTTGGTTCAGAGTAGATACAGAGCAGTTCTCAGAACAGATAAGCAAAATGAAATCTACTCTGTAACTATCACTTACAGCGCCAGATAAATAACCATCTGCAGCAGTTATAAGAACCAAACTCGAAAGGCGGTATTGACAAAGGAAACATGGACAGCCTGTCTGCCTAAAATATAGGCAGCAGACTGATGAGTAAACTTGGATTAGAAAGAGGCTTTCAAAGTTCTGCTCATTTAATGTCCAGCCAGAAGATTAGATTACTCTTAAAATCAAAACTATTTGATAATCTTCAAAGTGCATGCTTTCCCCCACCCCCTACTGAAAGAGTTTTAAGGGATTAATTAATAGACGGTCTGATGTTTCCTAATGTTGAGATTAGCTACCACATAAGCATACTATTTTTTTTTTAATGTTATTATTGGGGTATAGTTGCTTTATAATGTTGTATTAGTTTCTGCTGTACAACAACGTGAATCATATATATATGATTTATACATATAGCCCTTCCTTTTGAGCATCCCTCCCACCCCACCCCCATCCCACCCCTCTAGGCCATCACAGAGCACCAAGCTGAGCTCCCTGTCTATACAGCAGCTTCCCGCTAGGCTATCTGTTTTACACATAGTAGTGTATGTAAGTCAGTCCCAATCTGACTTATATCTGTTTTAGCTATCTGTTTTACACACGGTAGTGTATATAGGTCAGTCCCAATCTCCCAATTTGTCCCACCCTCCCCTTCCCTCTGTGTCCATGTGTCCGTTCTGTCTCTATTCCTGCCCTTGCAAATAGGTTCATCTACCATTTTTCTAGATTCCACATATATATAAACATACTACTTGAAAAAGCTCTAATTCCCCTTGTTATTTGCAAAAGGTTTTATCTAGTCACATTTGAATTCCAAGTGTTGTAACTCACCAGCCAGCACATATTTCATTTTGACCCTGTAACTGAGCTATAGTTCCAACTTCAGAGTGGTTATAGGGGTGAATTCTCAAGGTCTGCAATGGCGTTTAGTGGGGGCAGGACGGAGATCATTACTTTGACTTTATATATACTTGTCAAGTACTTGAAAAAAGTAATTAGCACTGTTTCTACTTTTGCAATTTTAAATAAGTTCCATAATTTCTTTCATAACAGGTAAACTTACATTTCTTTCTTTAATTCTTCTATTTTTTGGCTCTCTACCATCAGAAGCTCTTTTGATTTGTTCAGCTCTTCCACGTTTTTCAAGTTGTTTTCTTTAAGTGTATCCAACTTAAAGATCAAGAGAAAAAAACTTAATGAAATTATTTCATTTTCCAGTCACATGAGTGGATAGACAAATCATTCATGAAAACATGCATTAGACAGGTGAAATTAAAATCCTTTGCAAAAAAACAAACAAAAAGATCACCAAGTGAAGAGATTACAAATGATCAAGTCTATTATAAACTCCAACCTCCCGCACAGGTTAAATCAGACATTCCATGTACACCTGGCCGAAAGGTCAAACTAAATTGCAACACAGGGTCTCTTTCACTTTTACACAATTCCCAAAATTTATCATTGAGCTTGCCATTCATGTACGATGCATCTTAAAACATGCATTAGAAAATAAAAACATTAGAGATAAATTGCAAAGGCATGACATCAAGGACTGATTCTTTGTAATGAAAACACACCCCTTTCTTCCCACAAGACTAGTAATTTAGGATATGATATTTTTCAATGTCAGTGCCAAATTTAAAGTTATATAATAATCCTCATTATGAAAATTCCTGGGATATTTGTAGATGGGAAAGATTTAATTATTCACCTGAGCTTCAGTCTGAAAAGGGAAAGGCCACATAGCGAGACTGAAAAGCACTCACTCACATTCAGTCCCATCACCTGCCCACGTGGGACGTGGCCAGCCTATGGCCTGGCCTCTGGTGGGAAAAGCGGACACATTACCGGAATTAGTGGGGACACAACCAACCTCCGGCTCTGGCAGGTGGCTGGAGTTCCAGGCACGCAGCCCCCAGGGATGGGGAGCTTGTCATGGGTGACCCATCATACAATGTGTGCTCCTGGTGCCAAGCTGGCTTTCTAGGACTCGCATAGTTATCTCCTTCAGCCAGAGGTCATTCTGTCCTACCACATGCTACCGGTCAGCAGCCCTGGGAATCAGGAGCCCTGCAAAGTGTCCTGCAAATTTTAACACCACCATCTTCCTTTTAATGCTCCCTAACATTCCAGATTCAGGGAATGTTCAGTGGGACCAGAAAATGATTCATCCAGCCTGTATTCTGGCTGTAAAGAGACACCAAGGGGTAAGTTATGGAAACACAGGATTCTCCCTCAATCTGCCTTCAAAGGTTAGGGACATTCCTTAAAATCTTATTTACTTTAACTTCCAATCGATTACCATCGATAATTTTTAATACTTTTATGTCTTCAGCTTAAGTCTTGTTCTCTTAGCACTGTCAACTCAATCATAAATGTACTCTTTTCTGCGTCATGCTTTATTTCCCTTCTAATTATTTCAAAGTGTTTATGCCTTTATGGATTCCAGTCCTTGCTCTGCTATCATAAGGAGGTCTGATCTTTACGACTGCTATTCAGCATGCCTGTCTGGATCTTCCCTGGCTTTAACTTTTTAACATCTCACCTGACTGTCACTTTAAAAAGCATCTGAAGTTCTATAGAACTTCACATAACTATTTTGGCGAAGCAATCTGCTTTGGATTTACGTAACAGCTTTCCAAAGAAAGAAAGGGCTGGTATGGGGTGTGGGGAGGGGGGCGGGCGGGAATCAAAAGAGAGGTGCAAGGATGAGAAATGCTACTTTTGGACAGAATCAAAATTACCCTGACACCACAAATCTGTCTGAGACCCAGAAGTGACTGATTCAGAATGAGATATAAGGGAGGCAGTACTGAAATAGGCCAAGAAAAAGGCCTACGTCAAACTCAGGGCTGAGGGATGGAATCCGGTAGCTCAAAGTTGGAAGGCAGTTGGGAGAAAAAAAAAATGCACGTGATTTAAGATAAAAAACACAAAAGCTAGAGAATGCCACTGGTATCTCCTCACAGTAGTTGTGTCAATGAACAACTATCGCAGAAACCCACACTACCAGGGTTTTCCCCTCCTTTTTTAAAGGTTGATCTTACTAAATAGGTAATGAAGTAATACACTTTATTTCATAAGATCATCATCCTGGTGTACATGCAACTCCACTAACACAGATCAAATCTGTGTAAGGCCATACTTCAAAAAAAAAAAGTAAATAAACCATCCTGAGTTAGTCATCAAGAATTCCATGAAGTCGACAGGCTGTCCTTTGTACAAAAAGCCATTTAAATCTGATTACTTCATTCTTCAGTTTTTCATCTGTTTGCCTGGAATCTTCCAAGGAGGCCAGCATTTCGGTCTCCTCTTTGGTCATCTGTTCCCTTATCTGCATGGCATCTCCAGTGGTTTGAGTGGCCTAAGTGTGAGAAAGCAGTGTGAGAAATGAGGGCACCTCTTATCAACCTGGGAGGGGGTGACTAACGCTCAGGCCACGAGGCTCAGGATCTGTGTGGTGAAGGGAATCACACAGAGACGATGAGCTGGTAACCAACCCCATGCCAAGACAGACCAAGACGAACAAGCAGCACAAAGTTATAGACACTTTCTGTGCCATTTTTCAACAAGCCAAACTGAAATGTGCAATTTACGAATTTTCAGATCCCTATAAACCTACGCCTTCTAAGTTTTGAGTTCCACTGACAATGGTGTTCATCACTCTGACTTATGTTTGAGAGAAATGTTCACTTCATAAGAAAGGTTTACATCCTTCTGTGGCCAAATTTCCTCTTAATCATATTTACTGTTAGAAGTTTAAAATATTCTTCTTGCTATCTCGAATTTGGGGCTTTTGAAATGTTGGGAACTTTTCAAATAAAAATGGAAATTATTTGGGCGGTTACAGTGTTTAAGGCTCAAGTGTTTAATGAGAAGCACTGAATGACCAAGTCCATGAGAAGCTGTAGGCAATGAATACAAGCATGTCTGTGAATAAAAAAGATAATATACACATGGAAACAAATCCTTAGTTGATATAGTATTGCTATGGTTGCCTTTTCAGAAAAATTCTCCCTAATTAAAAAACATCTATCCTTTTTATTCACAGTTTGCAATCTTTTCTAATGGAGAGAGATGACAGCAATTAGATATCTGGTAAATGCTTGCCCATTCAGGTAGTGACAAACAGCTTGAGATATCTGACCAAGTGATTAAATGGGGTGCATTTCCTTCTTTGGAAAGGAAGGCACGTTCCTTCAGCCACTACAGGGTTAGTGAACATGGTTAAGGCCAGCGGCCCAATCCCTGAACCTCCCACTTTACCGTTAAGGACTGCAGAGTCTCGAGCTCTCTGATTTTTAGAGTGAGCTTGCTCTTGTCTTTCCTCAAAATACGGTTTTCGTTTTGAGACTCCAGGAGGTTGGCTAAGATGTGGCTGTTGGTTTTGGACAGCTGGTTGATCTCTTGCTGGAGGAAGAAGTAGCTTTCGGCCAGCTTCTCCTTCTCCTTCAGGAGCTCGTCCTTTTCCAGCATCATCTCTCTTTTCTCGGCCAGGAGGTTCCTGTTGTCCTGCGTCACCTTGGCCTGCTCGGCCAGGGTTACCTCGTGATTCAGCTGCAGGTCATCCAGCATCTTGGTGAGGCAGTTGTGCAGTTCCTGCAGTTCCAACTTGGACTTGGACAAGGCAGCAAAGTCAGTTTTCAGAGTCTCTATGTTGGCAGCCAGACGCGCTGTCTCTGCACTCAGGAGTTCCTTCTCCTTGGTGATATCAGCCATTCTCTGCTCTGAGTTGGTCTTATCTTGGATGAGCGTGCAGTTTTCGGACTGGAGCTCCTGGGTGCAGGCTCTCAGCTTCTCCACCTCCTGCTCCAGAAGCGCCACCCTCCTGTGGAGCTTGTTGCTCTCGTACAAGGAGGACTCTTGGTCCTGCGTCCTGGCTTCTTTCTCCAGCACCAGGGACTGTTGCATTGTGTGGATTTTCTCGTTTAACTTCTGACATTCTTCTTGCAGATTCAACCCATCCCTTAACAAGATGTTCTTTTCAGAACAGCAGGCCTTGAGTTCAGCATTTAAACTCTCCTTGGCTTGCAGTACGTCAGTGTGTTCTTTTTCTAGCATCTTTTTGGCGTTTTGGGCCTCTTTTAGCATCAGTGAGAGATCGCACTTGGTGGCCGTGAGCGCCTGGTTTTCCTTTTCTCTCTCTTGAAGTTCTTTCTTCAGAGCGTCGAGTTTGCTGAGCAGTTTCATCTTCTCGTACACAACAATTCTTCTGTTGGCTGTTTCTTGATCATATTTCTTTTTAAGGTCTTCCATGGCCTTCATGGAGTTCTCTCTTTCTACCAGTAAATCCCCATTCCGCATCTCTAGTACCGATTTTTCTTTCAAGAGGATATCCTGTTGCTTTTTGAGCTTGGTGATTTTCTGACAAACCAGCTCCTTCTCAGAAGTGAGGTACGTGATCCTCTCACTCAGGTTCATCTCGATGTGGGCAGACTCTTCCGAGTATTTGCTGAGTTTTTCTGAGATTAGCCTATTTTCATTTAGCAGTTCTTCTTTCTCAGCCAAGAGCCTTCTCTCGGATGACGTTAAGGTCTCTTTCTCGTGCAGAAGCTGAATGCACTCGGAGTTTCTGATCTCCCGGCTGGTCTTAATTTCTTCCAGCAGGTTTGTGAGGCTCGTGTTCGTGGCCTGCAGTTGCACAATCTCCAGCTCAGCCTTCCTCAGGGCCTTGCTGGCCTCCTCCAGCTGTGCGCGGAGCTCACCGGCTTCTGTGCTAAGCAGATGTTTAACCTGGAGGGCAGTCTCCAGAATGGTGTTCAGCTTTTCCTGATCTTGAAGCAGCATGTCCTTCTCGAACTGCAGGTCTTTGCTGCTCTGAAGAAGATGATCTCTTTCGACCTTTAGAGCTATACACATGTTGTCAAGACCTGACTGTTTCTCCAAGGTTGACTTTTTCTCTACTGTGAGGTCCTCGTTCTCCTGCACCAAGCTCTTCTGATCTTTGGCCAGCTCCTCATAGGAGCTCTGAAGCTTCCGAATAATTTCATCTTTATCTTTAACCAATGCGTCGTTTTCAGTGACCAGCTTCTTGATACGATTCTCCAGGCGGTCTTTTTCTTCCCGATACTTCTGAGACTCAGCCATTAGAATATCTTTGCTGAACTGCAGTTCCTCTGTGAGTGCCTGCAAGCTTGCTTTGGAAGCCTGCAAAGACTCGTTTTCTGTATTTATCTTCAAGAGGTCCTCCTGCGCGATATTGATCTCTTTCAGTAATTTCTCTCTCTCCACAGCCAAAGCTGCTTTATCGAGTTGTTCCTGCTGATAAAGCTTTTCAATGTCTTGCTTTCCTTCCCAGACTTTCTCCTTTTCTAAATTAAGAGTTTCATTAACTGACCAGAGCTTCTCTTGGTCCTCCTGAAGTAAAGTTATTTTGGCCTCCAACTCTACAAGTTGAGACAGAAATAAACCTTTTTCTAACTTTAAAGCATTCCCCTCCTGGGTAAGAAGCTGTTTCTCTGATTTCAGACCCCTCAGCTCTTCTGACATTAGTTCAACTTCTCTTTTGGCTGATGTTAGTAAGTAAGTTAGCGACTACAGAGACAAAAGATGGAAAGAATGGAAACAAAATGAAATCAAGCAGACAAATGCAAGCCCGAATAACTTAACATAACCTAAGTCATCGAAGTTAAAAAAAAGTTTATGATAAATGTCATAGCAACTATCTGGATTACAGGGGAAAGAAACTAGATGAACAGAGCCCATAAAAGGATAATGCAAAGCAATTGTAGCTTTGCCAAATGCTGATAACTCTATTGATTCATCTTTGAAACAACCTCTGAAGTACTCCTAACAGTTAACTAGAAGATACAAACAGTAGTGTGACATCAGGGCATGGGATTCTTTTCCTGCCGTTCCCAATTATCCAGTAGTTTCTATCGTAGGAGGGATTCATAGAAGAATTTTTAAAAACACAATCCAAAGAACTACAAACAGTGAGTATATTTTAACCAAAAAAGGGAAGAGGGAGGAGGTGTTATAAACTGTTGCCTTTCAAACTAACTTACAGACCCTTACTTACTAAAGAACCTGGCCTGAGACTGATTTAGTCCCAATGTTCCATGTAACTTACAAAAATGCAGACCAATTTGCTGGGCTTTGATGACCAAAATAAATGGGCTTTTAAAAAAATGCATTGGTTTATAAAATAAATTGACCACAGTGTCTCTACCAGCGCTGTCCAGAACTTTCTGTCATGATGTACAAGGATTTGATCTGCACTGTCCATTGTGGTAGCCACTAACCACATGTGTGGCACGTATGACTGAGAAGGGGAATTTATAACTTGAACTAGTTTATATTTAAATGGCTACATGCATCCAGTGCCTACTGTACTGGATGGCATGGCATAGTTCTCTGGCTATTAAACTAGGGAACATGGGAGCATCGCGGGCTCCATGAACTTCTTGAGATTTCACCCCAAACTGGTTAAGTGTGTAAATCAATTTTCCTGGGGAAAACATCTGAAGGTTTCATCAGCTCTCAAAAGTGTCTGCTGAGCCCTTGCTGCTGACAAACACTGAGGTTCACAGAAATACGATATTCAGACTACTTTGGAAGGGAAACAATTCTGGCATTTTAACCAAATGATCCTTACGAAAACAACAGCAAACAAAATTAATGGGGCTTTACACAAACCTCTAGAATGCTGTGGTTTGGTCAGGCTGCAGCATTTTAAGGAACACATTAGAAAACAGGTGTCTACCAAGATAAAGGGAGCCTCAAAGTCCAAAATTCTGGAAATTATATCCGGTACTAAATGTTTCATAAAACTGGAGATATTTCACAGGGAAAAGAGAAAGTCTTGATGGGCAGCATGTAGCTTCCCTGGTAGCTCAGCTGGTAAAGAATCTGCCTGCAATGCAGGAGACCTGGGTTCGATCTCTGTGTTGGGAAGATTCCCCTGGAGAAGGGAAAGGCTACCCACTCCAGTATTCTGGCCTCGAGAATTCCATGGACTATATAGACCATGGGGTCGGAAAGAATCAGACAGGAATGAGCATCTTTCACTTTCACACATGACGTATCTTATGATGTATTCCATTTAATTTAAAAGGGATCTGTTTTGTTGTTCAGTCGCTGAGTCATGTCTGACTCTTGGTGACCCCATGAACTGTAGCACGCCAGGCTTCCCTGTCCTTCACTATCTCCTGGAGCTTGCTCAAACTCATGTCCATTGAGTTGGTGATGCCATCCAACCATCTCATCCTCTGTCACCCACTTCTCCTTCTGCCCCCAGTCATTCCCAGTATCAGGGATCTGTTTTAAGTCCTACACATATTCTTCTGTATTTTATTCTACTTAACTCCTACATGTATATAAACATTTCTCTGACACATTAAAAACAATTAAAGACAATAATTTACTTTTCTTTGAGCAATTTAAATAGCAGTAAGTGGGTCAGGAAACATACTGGGACACTGACACAATCCTGACACCATAAAATAAAATTCAATGTATCGAGTTCTACTCTACTCAGTAGTAGGATGTTTTCTCACAGCCCTTCAATCCAACTTCCTTGTTAATAAGCTTTCACTGCCTTCCTGGGGACATAGGAAAACTTTCTCCAGAGGTCTCCCTTCTTTTTCCTCTGCTCTTCCGACCAGGCTCCATTCCCTGCCCACCTGCCTCACGCGTGGCCTCTGCCTCTTGCTCTTCTGCACGATGTCTCTCCTAACCCTGGTGCAAGGTGGCAGCAAGACGGCCAAGACTAGAGGGACATGCTTTTCCGCGACAGAGTCTATTACAAGCAGGTGGACAGAGCTCAGGCAACAGAAGGCTCTTTGTGAAGCAGCGTAGGGAGTGATGGCTACACAGTCCATTCAGGGTGGAAAGAAAGACCTGTAGCCACCACCAACCCTGAGAAGGGAGAGCGGCTGGTACAAAACACTTGAAGCCACAGGAGACGTCCTTCCCCTTCCTGCCATGTGCTCTGAAGGCCACCGAACCCCTTCCACGCGCTGCTGCTTCCTAAGCACCCTTACAACCCTGACGCGGGACGCAAAGCTCACTATACTGGGGCACACGGTCCTCCCCACCACATACTTTGGCTCCTTCGGCTTGCTTCCCCAGCTCCTCCAGCTTCTGCAGCAGCTCGCGGTTCTCCTCCTGTGCAGCCTTCAGCCGCTCCTCTGTGTCCCGGAGCAGCTTGTGGACGTTCTGCAGGACTTCTTCGTGCTTGGCTCTGCTCTCAGAACTGGCTTCCTCGTACCTGGCTTTCAGATCTTGACACTCGTTGCGGCTCATTTCCATCTTCTTTTCCTGCAGATACCCCATGTCAGAAGGAAGTCACCTGGCCACAGCTGTCCTGCCAGCCACCCTCTCTGCCCCTGCTGGCCACCAGTCCCACTGACTCTCTCTCTCCTTACCAGGTATGACAGTTTTCTCAGCAGTTCTTTCTTTTCTTCCTCATGCTTTTTACCTGCTTCTTTCTGACTTTGTTCGGCTTTGAGAGTTACTTCCCCGATACTTTTCTGCAGGAGGCTTGTGTTTTCGTTAGCCTTGGTGAGTTTCAGCTGTAATTCTTCTACATCTCTAGAAAGAATTTCAAAATGAAGCGTCAGATTTTTCCAAAAAGTACTTTAAATAATAGAGTTATACTTTAAAAGATAATATTGATAATAATTGGCTTAATGATGATAAATGTTATGAGCAATAACATCTAGAATTAGCAAAAAAAAAAGACTTGACTTGTCCTGAAGAATACTTTTTAACGACTGTGATGGTTATAAATACCTTAGGGTAACAACTACTCTAAGCATGAACGTTCGTTATTTTATGTCCAGCTCAGACAGTAACGAATCAGCCTCTAATGGAGGAGACCTGGGTTCGATCCCCGGGTCAGGAAGATCCCCTGGAGCAGGGCATGGCAACCCACTCCAGTATTCTTGTCTGGAGAATCCCATGGAGAGGAGCCTGGTGGG